CAGAATACAGGGTTCTTAAGACGATCATGGCATAAAATGCTGAAAAAAAATGACCAAAATGCCCATCCCTAATTGGAAATGGTGGTAAACACATCACAGCTCACAGACTGTTCAGACAAACACGGCAAAATCACCTCCCTCTGCCCGTGGTGATGTCAACGATCACAACCACATTCTCTCCTCTACACCTGCACATGGCCGACCACAAACACAAACAACCATCAAACATTCCCACCTAGTGTGTGCTGAGGGAGGGTCTTTCAGTAATACAGAATAATTTAGCTCAGCGTTTGTGGCTCCTTTAGGTCACAGAGATGAATGGACTGATAAAACAGGCCGTCCCAGTTGAGATGCTCCCTTAGGCAGAGCAGAGGCTAGACTACGCACACACATACAGCTAAGGACAGAGAGTGCCATATTTTACACATATTGGAGTTAGGCAAAATGAGTTTGCAATGTGTATTGAAAAATCAAGAGCTTGTGAATCAGAATCAAATTGAACAAGGGAATCTGTATTAACACCCAGCTCAACTCAGAATGTGCCTCTAAATATAATATTTTCTTTTAAAACACAAAAGACACGCAATCATTTTTAAGCGTGTAAGTGTCCAAATACTTTTTGGGGTCACTGTGTTTGATGTTTTTATGTTGTCAATGTCTTGAGATTCCCACTATCCTGTCCTACCCCACCCCACAAAATAAAAGAAGCTTTAGGACAAAATAAGCAGAAGAGAGAACAGCGTTCTTCTGCAACAGTTGCTCAGTGTGTTTGGAGAGAGAGAGAGAAAGGGAGGAAAGAGAGGAACGTTAGGGGATATTAATAGTGTCCACAGACGCTGGTGTCAACTGCATGTGATGGCTGTGTGACTGTTTCCTCCAGCCACCTCTTTCTCTCTCTCTCTCTCTCTCTCAACATCATTTCTTCTTTCTCCCTCTCCTGAAATCCCCTCTGCTTTCTCTTGCTCCATCTCGTCAAATGGAAAAAGTCGACACTTGAGAAAATTTGTCGATAAATGGCATTTCCATCAGCTATATCGGTAACCGTTTGAAGCACTAAACCTTTTTTTTTTTTTTACTGAAAAAAAAATCCTTGGATGGAAACCTGGCTATTGTCATGTTTCTGTCCTGCGCTGATATGAAAAAAAAAATCCTTCCATCTTCCATTCTTCTCCTCTCACGCCTTCATCAATATAAGCGATTTCATCCTGTCATTCTCACTTAACTCTCCAGCTACAGGTCATTTAAGGTGAGTTAGTTGAGGACCCATTTCCATGTGTGGATGATGTCTGCTGAATTCACACTATTTTAAGCCGACTGTTTTGATGAGTAATACTGAGTAATAAAGTGATGCATCTGAGAGAAAACAGTTTGTCAGTCACAACGGCAGACTGATCATTGTCTTCATACCGAGCTTATGATCTGTCCACTCTAGCGTCAAACTACTACTACTACTACTACACACAAGCACACCAATGAGGTAAATAACAGAATGCAGTACACTGTAAAAAAAAATGCTGTAGTTATGCAGCTGTTTGCCAGTAACTTACTGTAGATTTAAATTGATGTATATTTACTGGCAACAGTTTGTTCAAAGTTAAATGAACATTAAACATTAACAAGTCTTTGTCTTTACAGAATAAAATTATAAAATAACAATCTAATCCAAAGCATTCTGGGAACCAGAAATCTTCATCAACCTTTTTCTGTTTTTTTCCTTCAGATTTTGGTTCCCAGAATGCTTTGCATGAGGCTGTTATTTTAGTTTTATTCTGTAAAGATAAAGACTTGTTAATGTTTAATGTTCATTTAACTTTGAACAAACTGTTGCCAGTAAATAACATCAATTTAAAACTACAGTAAGTTACTGGCAAGCAGCTGCCAGTAATACTGTAATTTCTACAGATTTTTTTTACAGTGTACTGTAAATAGTTTTCACTTAAATTAAGTGTAAAATAAGACATTTTAGATATACAAATGTTAAAGGAATGGTTCATACAAGATTTAAATTGTATCATTATTTACTCACCTTCATGTTGTTCCAAACCCTTTGCTGTTGCTTTTTTCCCTATGGACACAAAAGTAGAACTTTTTTGGAGCAGCTCTTCCAAAAGCACAACAGGTCATAGTCGCTAGGAGCCGCGAAGCTCCAAAAAAGGACAAAACAAAACACACCAAAAAGACACCAAAAAAAAAGTAATGTCAGTGTCATTTTAGAATACAGTATCATTATGGTATTTTATATCAGTTTTCATTTTTAATTTTAGTTCAAGTTTTAGTCATTTTGTTATGTGCTTTTGACATTTTTATTAGTTTTTGGTAATATTGCTATATGTAGATTTAATTTATTTTTGTCAGTTTTATTTTTGGTCATTTTAATACTACAACTTATTTCAGTTAGTTGCCAAGGCAAGGCAAAGATTTTTTTAATTACGTTTTTACAATTGTATGTTTTTCCTTTACTATTTATCATTTATTTTATTTCAGTTACTGAAAACTATTAACGGTTCAATTTTTGTTAACAAATAACAACACTGGTCCATGTTACTTAATCACTATGTCACTGGAAAATAGCAGCATAACATTTCTTTAGACACGTCTAAATTTGTTTCTCACTGAAAAAAGTGACAGCATATGGTTTGGAACAACATGAAGGTGAGTAAATAATGATTTGGGGTTAAATTATTCCTTTAGCATTCAATCAAGAGAATCGGGTCACCAGGTGACCTTTGCCAAGTTCCATTTAATCGAAATTTGGATTACAGGTATAAGATTCTACATTTCTCACATCTGATATAAAACCTCCAGGCAATGGCCATGATATGAGCATGCTGATAGACGAGATCTCCTTCACACAGATGCTCTTGAGTGCGAGTCTGGCCTTACAGCTTTGTTTTAAGCTGAGCTCACCAACAGGTCAGAGTGTCTGGATCTGCGATCAGGATCTTGTGTTACCTACGCAGTCTCTGCACTGCTAATCGAATGGTGAGGGAATCACTTTCTCTCAGTTCACGTCAATTAGCACCCCCTGAGTGAACTGAAAGGGAGGAATGTCTCATAAAGAAAGCAGAACACACACATACCCAAAGCAAAGAGAGTGAGCGAAAATAGTATTTGAATAGGACAAATCTGGGGCAGCCACTTCATTATGAGGGTACACAGAGCGCATCCATCTTAACTTTTCCATCATACCACTTTCCTTTCCTTTATCAGTGAAATGTTCATAAGATGAATCTTCAGCTGATTATTCCATTTGTTCTGTTGAGAGCTGACCTGCTCACCTCGTCTCTGCCTCTCTATCTCTCCCTATTGCTCTCGTACAAACACACACTTCTAACTAGCCTTTTCACCAATAATACCACACACTGATATCGTCTCACTAAGCTACACAGGTGAACTAAATCGGCAGGTGTGTTTAGGTTTAGTCAATTATTATAAAAAAAAGAAAGAAAACGGCTTGGAAACCTGAACTCTTCAGCTCAGAAAAAGACATGATTAATCATTTGAGAAAGATAACATTATTAAAATCATGCATTTTTTTCTCTAAAACAGGTCTCAATACGTATAAATGCTGTAGAGATTATTCATTTTGTGTGACTTTTCCTAATGATAGAATGCGAAAAAGATAAATGCACGAATTTGGGCTTTCAAAAGGATGCTGTTTCTAAACTGATCCATACATTATCATGAGAAAACGTATAACACTTTTATGAGTTGTAAATTCCATATGAATTCAAACGATTTGATTGTATGAAAACAAACGCTTAAAAAAAATTAAACCTGTCATTGCAGCATAAGCGGGTGAGATTGCACGGATTCATACGAATGCCCACCAACTCACCAAAATGTAAAATAGTTATGAATTATCATGAGAGTGTGTTGGTCTAATTAGCCCCAAACAGACACATATGGGTCAATGATAATGGTGATGAAAAGCGAAAAACATTTATACTGATTTCTACCAATTGTTTGATCTACTAATTTTTAAAAATGTCAAGTACTGTAACCATCAAGTGAAATACTTTCCATGCACTTTGAATACACTTGAGTTTACTCAATGAATACACTACTCAAAAGATCAAGGTAACACAAATGTCAAGTACTGCATAATCAAGTAAAAAATATAAGAGGTTTTCTCAGGACTACTTGACCTAAACAATATGTCCCTTCACATAAAAAGCTAAAGATATGTTAGATTTTGTTCAAGCTTTTTTAACACTGATCAAACCTCTTCAAGATCAAAAGTTTTCCTCTCTCTGTTGTCTGGTTTTCTTGTCACATGACAACAAAATGTCTTCCAAGCTGGTTACACTATACACTGACTTTTCAAAACCATATTTTTTCATTACTAGCCAACTACTACTACTACTACTAATAATAATAATAATAATACAAAGTTGATACAATATAATAAATAATATGCCAAACCATTTATGCCAGCATAAAAAAAATCAGTTTTTTTGTTTTGCAAACAATAGGCAGCTTTTTTCAAGCCCACAAAAAAAAAAGTAAAAATAAAAAAGTAAAACATTCAGAAACCGAAACCAACACCACAAAGAGGTGCTCACGTTATGGCCTGTATACAAATTTAATATATATATATATATATATATAATTTTTTATCTCTCTGGTAGACCATCTTAAAAGCACATAGCCTTTTCACAACAAATTTTTGATTCGTCAGCTGTAAATTTCATTAATATTCTGAAGGGTAAATTGGTGTTGATTGATTGTTAGTGACTGATAGTAGGCTAATAACAGCTTCCGGACAATCGGGTGGCGGAGCTGCCACCGTTCCCGTGGATACCGGGCGGAGTGACACACGAACAAGTGGTTACCGGAGACCCGAGAGTGACATGAACTCCACTACAGATACAACCGTGAACAAGATTCACCGGTAAACATGTGCGCCATTGTGCGTCTGGCGCAAGATTTGCATAGGCAAATGTCGCGCACTATTGCGCGTTTCATAAGCAGACGGGGGAAAGAGCACCCATACTAACCGTTGCCTTGATGGGGACGTACAGGACCGGTCTGTCCGCTGCCCCATTCTCGCTCTCGCTCGGCTCGCCGTCAGTGTTGCCCACCTGGAAACCTTTGGATTTCACCCAGAACTTAAATTTGGCGTTGATGTGGTTGCTCTCGATATAGACGCCCTCCAAGTCGTCGCTCTGTAAGAGGGTCTGCAGAATTTTGCTGTATTTTCGCCGGGTGACGGTCTTTGTTTTGCCGGAGTCTCCGTAAGTGCGAAGGCACCACTCCTGAAAATCACCAAACATCTCCGCCTCGGACACCGCGGGGCTTCGGCTCCTTCTCGTTAAATCCATCCGTTTTTTGGCTGACATGGCTTTGTCGGTCCTCCTCCGGAACGAAAGAGGCTTCGTAAAAAAATGTTAGATATTTAGGCTAGATAGCTCCTATTTTACCGCGAATACAAATTAAAATATTCTTCTAATTGCGGTTTGTTTGTCTAACCTCGCACCTGTTAACGGAGCCGTTTCTTCTGTCCCACAGGGTGGCAAACAAATGACAGTCCCGCGTCTCCTGTTGAGGAACTGAAAGAGGGGCCGTCCTACAAACGGCTTTCGCCCACCTGTAAGCTGAGGCCAGTTAAAACAAACAGTCTTTCGCCTAAATACGACGATTAGGCTGTGTTAATACACCCAGGAGTCCAAGGGTTGCTATAATGAGGAGCAAGTGGTCCTCTCAGCGTTCGTTGAAGCTCGGTTCAGTGAATGAACTGCTGCTCCACCTGAAATCGCTCCCACCACCTGTTAGAATGAGCTCGAGCCTCGACGCTCCTCGCGCCTCTTCACGCGGAGGACGGGATTACAGGTGCATGTAATGTGGGGTATATGAGGAATACTAACTGACACACGAGGCGGTGGGGTGGATGGCTTTGAGCGGCGTCCCATGCGCTGTGGGACAGTCCAGATCCAGGAAGTGCAAGCGTTCAGATATCCCAAAGCAAGTAACACAAAGCAGACGATCGTGTCCCGAAAAAGAAAATCGACTAGGAGGTTATTGCGTTTAAATGTTACTGGTTTATAATATATTTTTATTTTTTTGTAATTTATAAAGTAGCCCTACTGTATCCAAGCAAACCGAATTTAAGGACCATTTACAATTAAATTACATTTGCTGAAATGTTTTGAATTTTATATTGGCTATATTATATATATATATGTGTGTGTTCTGTGTATAAATAGCCTGCAGCATATCTCATAAATTCCATCATCACACCACTGCAGTAAATCACTTGCATCCAGTCATTAATGCAGTAAATACATAGATGAATGAAAATGAAAGGCTTAGTTCACCCAAAAAATAAAAAAGATCAATTATTCACCCTCATGTGTGTGTGAATATAGAAACATGCAATGTTAAATAAAAATATAAGAGAAAAATGTAACTATATATACATATATATATACACACACACACACACACTTTTTTTTTATTTTATATATATATATATATATATACACATACTGTATATATGGATGGGTGTAACGGAGGCCAGCTAAGAAACCTCACTCCCCTGATCTCAAGAGGTGCTCTATCGACTGACAATAGCGACTGCTGGACCTGGAGACTCGGGTTCGAGGCCTGCACAGAGAGGGTCGAATAGGACCTGAGGGGTTACATTGGTGCTGTGACCCGGATGGGAATGAGTGTAACGGAGGCCAGCTGTGCATGTAAACCTCACTCCCCTGATCTAAAGAGGTGCTCTAACGACTGACGCTAGCGACTGCAGTCTTTAGCCTCCTTGTTAGAGCGCCGCCTCCCATTAGAGGCCCGCACAGAAATGTGGAAAGTAGGAATATACCTATACAGAAAACTGACATTTATAGCAACTATGAGACCTTCAATAGTGTGAACAGGGCTTTACACAGAATACGCTTCATTATTCTAAAAACCGAACAGTTCCACTGAAGGTTGACTAAAGGAGATTTCAGTAAGAGATCGGCATTGTAGTGTTGTCCTTTATGTATTTAAAACTCCTCATTAATTTATATTTTCACTAAATTATCTTTCCCAGCTCAGTAATGCATGGTGCTGCTAACAACAATAAGGTCATGGGTTCGATGCTCAGTGAATGCATGTGCTGATAAAATGTAGGCTATACCTTGAATTGAAAAAAATATATATAAAAAAAAAATGTTAATCTTTTTTTTTTTTTAAGTCTGTGAACAGTGTCTTGATGACCAGATGTTGTTAACTTTCATTTAGAAAGATGTGTCAGGAAAAAGTATTTTCATTGATCATGAGAGTTTGCTCTTTCATATATTAGGAGACTTAATTGAGTTCTTTAAGTATCAACATTGTCTCAGATGTCTGTCTTAAAAAGCCTACAAAAAATAAAAATAGAAACAGCTGAGACAATCGTAGACATACTGAGCTTACTATGGATACCAGCTTAGATAGTATTAGTAGAATGTGATGAGAAATGTTCATTTTAAAATCTGAACTTTTTATCGCAGACCCTGAACAACCTTTCCCAAACGAAAAATCATAGAAACTCGAGACTAAAAAGTCTGCAAAGATAAAAAAAAAAGGCTCCATTTGCACCCTGAACTACTGAGAGATCTGCTTTATGATTTTTCATGGGTACACACACACAAACGTCTACTAAAACATTTTAAGTTGTGATTTGGGTTAAATTCATTAATGACTCGGACAAAGTATTTTCCAACATAAAGATATGTAAAAGATAAAAATAATTCAAATGAAGTAATATTAATCTTTAATATAGCCTCATGGGCAGCGCTCCAACATGTTGAGCTATTGTGCTTCAGGCAACCCTTTCCCGATCCTGTCCCCCTCTCTCTCCCACTTCACTTCCTGTCTACTCTACCCTATCCTATCGCAATAAAGGCAAATAAATAAAAATACTAAAAATAAATCTTTAAAAAATATATATTAATCTTTAAATAATCAACCAACCAATTCTCATCAAAGTGATTAGCGAAATAATTACTACTGCAGATAATGAAATAATGTGGGCGATCGAGGAGACCTTGAGTGAACAGTGAGCATGGACATTCTGTGCTGGGCTGAGTGTGTTTGTGTGACTCCAAGTGCCGTCTGAATCAGACACAACATACAGAGATACACAATCAGTGTGCTGAAAGTACGAACAATTGTGTATCATGTTTAATAGGAGCTTTCAAAATCTTTAACAGAAACATATCATTGATGTAGATGAAAATGAGGGCTGATTTTGATTTTGATTTTTTTTTTTTTTACATTTCTGGACAGCTCTGCTCCATTGAATAAAGTTTTGTGACTTTTTGTCCATGTCTGTTAGCTTTGAAGCCATCAATACACTATTGTATGTCTAAAAATGTAAAAAAAAAAATATATAATAATATTTTTCCAGGAAAACGAACAAAACATATTAACTCATCGTCATCCTGCACAACACAGATTTTTGTCCAATGAAATGCCCTCATGAATGAGTGTGCCACACCCTTGTCAACTACCAAATCATGGTCCATGACCCTATTGGCTAAAGAAGGATGACCCAAATTTCCTGTTTCAATAGGAAACACATCAATAGACGAATGAAAATTGTGCTTGTGAGAATACAGAATCATCTACAATGCATCTCAGTCTGATTTTAAAGGGTTTTTAGTCATGTGTAGCTAAAGTATGTGTTTGTGTTGTTGTTTTTTTGATTTACGACAAACAAGGGAAGAGTAACATCAGTTTAGGACTTGGAAACTGGTAATCCTATGCTCCCTCTCAGCAAAAGTTCGCAGTGGGCACAGGGAAACGAAGCACTAGAACGAGCTGTATCGAAATAGCCTTTTGCTTTGGGAAGTGAAAGTGGGTTTCAAAACCCTGCTGACTCCCTCCCTGCCTCTTTTTCCCCTTTTCAGCTGTGACCCAAGAGAGAAGCGAGCATCTGCTTCCAGAGAAAAGTGGTCAGTCATCTGTGGTTAGCCCACTAAAGTCTCTTCTCTGAAATGTTTGTCACTCTGTCTGTCGAAATCACAACTGCTGGTTTGGGCCGCGCCATGTTCCAATAGGCCTCTCAGACACTTATGTTGTCTTCTGGAACTGTTTGGACTGTTAGTACTGTGCAGTCAGTGTGGCATGCTTCAACTACCAAACGGCAATAAAGAAGGAAAAATCTAATTTCTTTTCTTAATTAATTTCTGACAACACAAAGCGACCAAAAGTCCTGTTTGATACGATTGACTCTATTCTAAACCCGACTACGAATATTTTATCTGAGGCCTCTTTTGAGCTTTGTGAAGATTTTTTAAAACATTTCACTTTTTTAAAACAAGAAAAACTACAACTCCCACTATTGGACTACAACTCTCCTACCTGGCTTTCACAGGTGTTGGTTATCACTGTGGATTGTCCTGATGTGTTTGAACACAGTTAAATTGATTGTTACACTTGTTGTCTGTATGCCCTGATGATGGTCTTTTGACCGAAAGCTTGATCTATTAAATTTGCTTTAAGGATTTGAGTGTGCGGACAGTTTATTTATTGAAAACATTTCACTCAAAAAATGTATGATATTAGAAGCTCCATTGTTCCCTCTGAACCATGTCACTTGCAACTGCCCTGCCCTATGAGTTGTCTGTCTAACTTTAGACCTGTCTCTCCAACTCAGCTAGCTGATATAATCTCTACTACACTGTAAAAGAAAATCCTAATTTTACAGAAAATAACTGTGATTTTTTGACGATCATTTTCTTTCATTTTAAATTGTACTCAAAACACTGTAAAATTACAAATAATATCTGTAAAATAAAAATTCAGCTGTTATTTTAGGGATTGTGACATTAATGACAAATTGCAGTAATTCACATTTTTTATACAGGAAATTGATTGTATTTTTCATACAGTATTTTTTCTGTCTTCTTAAATTACATAAAAATGTATGTAATTAAACAGTAACAAAAAGTTAAATGATAAAACGGTCAAATGACTGGCAGCCCCCAAAAAACTAGGGGTGTAACGGTTCACAAAATTCACGGTTCGGTTCGATACGATACACTTGTGTCACGGTTCGGTTCGGTACGATTCGGTACGTTTCCGATACAGCAAAAAGAAAGAAATGCCAGAGAAATTTCCTTGATTTAATCTTTTTAATTATATTTTTATTAAAACTAACATCATAAAGTATGATATTTTTTAACTTTGAGCAATGATGGAGCTATACTTGACTTTTCTTAGGAGCTTATAAAACAAAACAGCTCCTTGGACAAAATTAAATGTAATATTGTAGTAGTTATAAACAAAGGTTTATTTTAGTTCAGATTAACATTTGAGGGCAGCAATTGTATTCATAATGTCAAAATAAAACCGACGTGATGTTACTTGAAAGCATTATAGCCTACTATTCCTGCCAAACTTCCATGGTTACAGTTAGTAGTGTTACTACAGTAAACCCATGGTGAATGTTGCTGATCTGTGGACACTGGATAGTTCATTCATGGCACAATGTTTCTTCCTGGTTTCCACGTCAGCGCTGTTTGATCCGTTAATAACGGAGAAA